GAAAGTAAGCATAGAAATACTATCCCCCTCTAAGTAGGGGGCTCACAACTCATTGATCTATATTGAAAAATTGATTAAACTAAAAAAAAAAATCAATCACATCAACACATAATGAAATATTGATGAGTGTCACCTTTAGCATGTGCTAGCTCCAGTGTTACCATTTTAGAGTGAACAAATGGATGGATGGATGGATGGATGGATGGATGGATGGATGGATGGATGGATGGATGGATGGATGGATGGATGGCCTGAGTTGTTAATTTACATAGATTGGCATAAATTACAGTACATGTTTTAGATTGGCATAGCATCATATTTCATGTAGATTTATTAAATGAGCCGAATAAAAATAATCTCGTTAGAGAGTTTGTGATATAAAATATTGTAATGTCAATAAAAAAAAATCCATCTAATGTCATATTGTGAAATCGGTTATAAACAATTTCTAACGCTAAGCCATATACCCTAAAATGCCTTTATTGAAGATTGTATTTAAATCATGGACTTTATTACTGACTATTATCCTAATTTAATATTCAAACATAGACATGGTTGTCTTTATTTAATGAGGCACCTACTCTGATAGAGTTATCACCTCCAGTTTTCTTTGTAATGGCAAAAAGCAAAAATACTGGTTGGAGTTGTCATGTTGTAGTGTAAAAAAATACTTCTGGGCAAATACATCTTTTAGTATTTTTAAATGTCAAGCTCTCCAAGTAAAGAGCCTAGCTTGAACCATGTTCTTGAATAATTGCAGGGCTCCTACGCCTCAAACATTTTTTTAAGTGATCTTATGACCCTCTGTGTTGTTTGATCATGACTGCTTAATTATTGTGTTGGACTTGAACAATCACATTAAAAACCCCAAAGCTAAAGGTGCAAAACAACTTAAGGTTTGACTCAATTTTAAATAAGAATCATACAAACAGGAACATATTTTGACTTCAGAAATTTTGACATCAGTAATTGCTCGACATTTCCAAGGTCCTTTTAACTAATGCTGCCCTATTTGACAGATTGTCTGTTATTCATGAAAGTATAATTTCCACTGACTCCATCTGCCAGCGAGACATTAAAAAAGAACAGTGCTACTGAAACCTCATATTAACTCTTCTACTTCTTAGTGGTGAACAATACTATCACTATGATAAATTAATGAAAATTATTAATTCAGAAGGTTTTTTGACGGAACCAATCAGATCATAACTGCATTGTCCATTCTGTTTATGTCACATTTAGAGTGCTTTCTAGAACATATTTTAAGTGACATTTGGGCAACTTTTACACTGCAACCTAAAATGAAAAGAATGCAGTTTTTTTGCCCATACCTGACCTTTATCTGATCATTTTATGACAGTCTAAAACACAGGTCAGATTTTTTAAACGCGACCTGTGTCAGTATAGCCATTTTGCTTCCATCTGACCTGTACATCACTTTTTGAGTCTTGTTAGGCAGATGTGCAAAGAAAAGCATCAATCACAGCAGACAATAATGCATAGAGCAAACAATGGAGAAAAAACAGTTTCTGATTCCATTGATATTTGGAGGTACAGCTCTGTTCAGGCCAAACTCGACGGGTCTTATCAAAACAAAGAAACATTTGATGGATGGTCAGATGGATAGACAGACAGATGCACACCAGCATTACCATCAATGGTTACATTTGCAAACGCAGAGCATGCTTATTACTTGTGACAAATTGCATATGTCTGGAATGTGAAAGACACCCCAAAAAAATAAATCAAATTTCACATAAAATAAAGTAAAAATGGAATTGAAAAATTAAACCCTGTAGTGGGAATGCAGCCTTGGTGTGCTATACATGAAACTTTCAGACATTCTCTCTCATCTCATTTTGAAGCATTAAAAACAGTAACTTAGTTTCTCCCGCAGTTTCTCCAGAAGCTTTTGTTGCAAAGCTTTGAGGGGTATTGCTTTGGGAAATGGGTAAATGTAGAACCCTGAGGTCAGGAAACAGAATCGGGGTGAAAGCCATGGGATCAGAAGGAGGCAACAGAATCCTAGGAACAGGCATGAATCAGTAGTCAGGGAAAAGAAACAAAGTCAAGTAGGACGGCAAAAACAGGCTGGGGCAAAGCAAAAGATGGTAATCATCAACAAGCAAGGTTGATATCCAGAGATCAGAGGTTAAATGTGGGCAAGGCAGAACAGGGAAATACCTAAAGTAAAAATGTGATTAAAAAAGGCAGGGAGACAGGAAAACAATGCTGGACATTTACCTACTCTACAAGCCCCCAGATACTTGAGCAGACTGTCAAAATATCTTGAGTTGCATGGAGTCCTTCAAAGTCATGTACCCATTCTTACATTTCTCATGCCAAAGGTCGTCATTTTCCACACTAAAGGGAAATCATCAGATGAGTTTGCCTTCTAGCTTTATAAAACAAAGAAAACAGTCTAGCTTGACACTTTGCACCACTTGTTCTTGCACCTAAGACCTTTCACTGAGGCGCAGAGAGATACTGAGATGCTGTGGGTCTTCAGGACAGGCTAGTTATGCTCTAGGTAGTGTGTCACTGCCAGCTATTGTTGGTTCGGAAGACTTCTCAGCCGAGTGTCACATTTAAAACAGCATGTATGAATTCTTGTTCCTTTTGAGAAGAAGCCCCCATCCCTTTTTTTTTTCCCTTTATTTTATTTTTTTTTTTTTAGGATTTTTATTGAATTTATTTGTAAATTATGCTGGAAAATACGTATATTGTCACCTACAAACCAGCAAGATTTCTGGCTCTCACAGATCTGTAACTTCTTCTTTTTTTATTTTTTTTATTTATATATATATATATTTTTTTCTAAATAAAAAAAATTATATATATATATATATATATATATATATATAAGTAGCCCCCTTTCCAATTAAAAACATTAGTAAGACACTGCATCAGCTAATGAAAAAACTTTGCTCTGTAAACACCTATCCGCACAGACTCTAGATGGACTCTGAGCAGATGTTTGAGGACACATGGGTGTGAGTATGTGGTAGCCTTATGGCTTTCGATAATCTGGTAACTCCTTGCCAGCAAAAAGCTGAATATATGGGCAGAATCACAGGTAGGATGAGTGAGACGTGATTAGGAGGGAGACCAGGGAGGCACAGGTGGTAACAATGATCCTAATTAAGTGCAGGGCAGAGGGAAACAGGGACAGACAGGGGCAGTGCAGGCAGAACAGAGCAGAATTATGATGCACAGCATTTTGAAAGAATTTGCCTTTGTAAAATGTGCATCTGCAAATAAAATTCCCTTACCTTTTCAACTGCCTAAGAGCAAAGTAAGTTACTTCTTGGTGTGATGGTTTTCACAGTAGACCTACTGTATAACATCTGCATAGTGTATGTTATGATTGATGGTAGTTATTATCATGCCTCTGATATGGCATTTTGATCCAAGTAGAAAAACATAGCTAAGCTCTTAATATTTGTGTTTAGAAAAACATCCTAGCTTGTCTAATTAAAAGTAATAATAACATTTTAAGGTCACCCAACCAGTTTTTCCACATAAGTGTCATGCAGAGAATTCTTTGAAAAAACTAAAAATTTTGTTGATGGGTAGGAAACATTTAAAACTTAAAGACTTAGGGAATATCCCCATAGGTAAATTGTCAAAATAAAATAAACAAAAGGGAAACATTCAAAAAGCTTATGGGAAATGGTTTCATTATTACTGCCAAGAACTACTTGTTCAAATTTTATTGAATTTTCTAATAAAAGCGAAAAAAGTTTTTGTTTTTTTAAATTTACATTTTTAAGTAAGTTATCTAGTAAAGATGCTTTTTTCCCATTTCTTTCCAGAAACAAACTTTATGGTTGGCATGTATGTATGTATGTATGTATGTATGTATGTATTTACGTATTTTATATGGAGCATTTCTGATTCTAATCCATTAATTCCCAAATTAAAATAAAACTCAGATTGTGTAACCTAACCTTATAATTGGCTGAAAAAAAAGATCAAGACAAAATAAAAAAGATGAAAAAAAGAAACTAAAGTACAAAAAAGAATTTTAGAGCTTTGCAAGCTGAAACGTATGACGATATTTTGAAGGAAACCAAATTAAATCAGGAGTCACTTGGTTTTTTTTATGGTGCTGTCAGTTCTATGCAAATGTTTTCCTATTTTTGCCCGTTTCATTCAATTCAATTATTTTGATATATATATATATATATATTTTTTTTTTTTTAACTTTGGCTCTTTTGTAAAGAAAACACAACACAATGTAAAGATTCACCTTCACCAACATTTACATTAATAAAACTAAAAACGTATGACACATATTGGATGGAAAGATTCTGTTATTAATCTATATGTGTCAATCTAAGTTTCCTGGTCTGGAGTACCAAGTTAACAACAACAACAAAAAATCTCTGTGAAAGTTTTAATAGATATATTCCTTTAGTCTTTACTATCTTCATGGGCATTTTGGTATTTATTTACTTATTCATTTGTTTTCTTTGTTACATATTTGCTTCTTTTAGGAAGTTTCTGTGAATCTCCCTTGACCACTAAAAAAAATCTGTATACTAACAAAGGCCTTTTCTTGGGAATGCTAATGTGATCATTATCAAGCAACAAGGATGCCAATATTCTGTTCCGTCTATAGAACTCCCCCCCCCTTCATGAAGCAAAGGTCTTTACTGGTGAAGGGAAAAATGCCCTTTTGTTGCTGTCTGTGTTATTTGTTGCTACAGGGTCTCACAGCTATTCTTATTCTAATTGAGGTTCTCCTCTTTTTCTCCCATGGTAGCTCCGGTTCCCAGAGCGAAGACCCAAGCCTCCTCACTGAGCCACAGCCACCCAGACAGCCTGGCTGAGAGGCAGAGAGTGAGAGAGGGAGGCAGAGATGGAGGGAGGAGTCTGGAACTCCATCCACTGACTGCTGTGTGTGTGTGCCATGAATTGGATGAGCAAGAGAGAAAGAGAGGGAGAGAGAAGAGGAGGAGAAGGGAGGGGAGGGGGGGCAAGTGAGGGCTATAGACTCTGAGAATGGATGGGCAAAGAGAAACAGTGCAAGCAAGAGAGGAAGAGTGAACGTGCGTATTCTAAGAGTCAGCAGCGAGGAGGCAGAAAGTCCACAAGCTCACATCACCACAGCAGAGAACGACAGGAGGATCGGGCACCCAGCCACTCTGAAGAGTCAAACACACACCAAAGAGCCACGGAGGGAGAAGGAGAAGAGGAAGAGTACGGGGAAGAGGAGAGAAGGACAGAACACACATCCAGCTTTCTTCTGGTAAAAAAAAAGGAGACATCACTAAGGGACCATAGCATCATCCAGAAGCGCACTGGAGCACTTTCTCTTCTTGAGCATTTCTTTGTGCCTGTCAACTCCTATTTCACACTAGCCTACTGTTTCCCGTAGGTTTTGACCTCTTCGCTCTCTCCAGCCATGATCCCTTGGGTGCTCCTGCTCCTGTGGATCTCCGGACATAGTAAGTTCTCTAGAAAGATTTACTAATTGTATGTGATCTTCTGTGCTTGTGATGGTTGTGACTTTTTGACTCAGAGCCTTGTCTTCCGACTTCTCGTCTCTTGCTGTGATGTGTGAGCTTTTTGCTGCCTTGTTTATTATTTTTCTTTGTTTTTCACTGATTTTTACATTTTGCTACCATGTGCACTTGGATGTCTGATGCAAACAGGAGAAGAGGGAATCAAGAGGGAAAAAAGTCTGAGTGTTATCGTGCAAAGGTTTAGTTTTCTACATCTGGAGTTTGAGTGGCTTTAAGATACACAAGGGATAAATACTTCCTATGTGGCTTTATTATTCCTGTCACACTCTCACACATTCACACACAGCAGCCCTTTAACCCTATTGAAGTTCAGTAAAGCGTCCATTTCTTAGTCAGATTGCTTTAAACTGACAGCCCGTTTTCCATCAGTCCGTCTATGGGGGGTATGGTTTGGAGAATGAAGGCAGAAAAGTTAAGAGGTTAGAGCTTTTCTATCACAGTCTCTTTTGGACTGTGTCTGTTATTATTTTTATTCCCTAATAAACTGTTGGTTGATAGAATAAGGGATGGATTATTTGTATCCTCAGATTGCCACCAGGTGGTTGTCTTTAGGGAGAGAAAAAAAGAAAACAATAAAAAATTAAAGAGCAAAGCAAAGTACAGCCAAACTCACAGCGTCCGATTACTCGGACACACGCAGGGCTGAATCAGGCAGCAGCTGTTTGTCACTTCGCGGCATCACACTGACGCACAGTGAGCTTGCTCCGGTTAAAACTGCCCCGGGGTCAGGGTCAATGACAAAGTCGCCTATTTTCCTCTCAAACTGGACCGTTTTAGGTCTGAAGGAATGTTGATTTCAAACAAAGGGATGTAACCTTTGATCTGGAGCAACCGCTAGAAATAGGTTAAATTCTTTCTGCTTCATTCTGTAGGGTGACTGTTGTCGTTTAGCGTGGCAGCCGGTGAATCAAAGTCGGATACACGCTGCTAAAACAGCAGCAACACATAACACTTGGTAAACAAGTCATTTACTCTGTGGCTGACTTCAGCTGTTCTACATCTTGATTTATAGTCTGTAGAAAAGAACATTGCTTATAAAACAAGTAATTTGCTCTGAGTATGTTTCTGCTGAAGTTCTATGTAGATTTGCAGAAATTCTTTGCCAAACAATCGTCACTTTCAAGCCGACAGTGGCGGTAGTGATGGGGAAGGGAGTCTCTAAACATTGCTTAACATCTTTTTACATTAACAGCTTTGATGAGGCAGTACGTGATTGACCGCTGTGGAAAGTGCTGGTTTGTGTAGTTATCGAACATCACACTTGGTATCGTGGAAGCTGCTTTTTATGTGTTTCTGCTTTGCTGTTTACTGTTTCCCCTGGTTTCATCTTCAACTCTTCCTATACCATCTGTTCTTTACCTTGTTGCAAAAATACATGATCAGTCAGTCTCCTTTCCTTTACTCTGTTAAGCATCTGCTAAGCTTGGCTTCTACAACTGATCACTGCTGCAATTCTGCCATAGCGATAAAAAGTGGGTTCATTTATAGTTATGCTAGACTTCAGAAACCGATGCCTTGTGAGTGTATTTTCCCTTGCTTTATAAACCTTTATGTATCACAATTTCATGCACATATCATCACAGATTTAGTCCCAGTACGGGGAACAACTAACACCATATCTCATTTTACTGAAATGAGAGAACCGCTGCAACTGGATTGAAATGGGATTGTGCCGCATTTCAGCAAAGTCAGTTATTACCCTAATATAAAATATCACTTCCCTGCCAGGTAAACAAGAGATAACAACCCTACGTCCCTTTGCTTGCCTCCAGGGGGAAAGGGAAGTGCTTCCCAAAGCTTTCTGTTGTACAAATTACGGCTCTGTTTATGTGCTGAGCCAGTGTCAGCAGAAAGCTGAGGGGGAAAAAGAAACAATCTTGCTTTTATGAAGAGGGGCAAGGAGAGAGTTGTTGTCCATGCCGTACTAGACTTACCTATGCAGCTGTCCTGTGAGACGGCCACAAAGAGAATTTAAAAAATGAAAGAACAAGGGACAGAGTGTTCTTTGTGAGTCAGAAAAAGTCTGGAAAAGTAAGTTGACTTGAGTGTTTTCCAAACCAGTACAGACAAAAAGAATATTAGCATCTCATTGTCTAAATCAATCAATCAATCAGTCAATCAGCAAATCCATCTATCTATTCATCCACAGTTAACTGTCTTGTGCTTTTTGTCCATGTCCTATGTTGAAGGTCTGGACACAATAGACAATATCAACCTTAAATTCATTAGAAACATTTGTTATTCAGACTATATATAGTCTTGGAGCTTTGGAGATCTGAGATCAAAAGTTTGTAAATTTGATATGATAATAGTGTATCAACTCTGTAGACAGAAGCTAAGAGATGATTCAGACTAAATGGAAAGACACAATGCTGTTTTTTTTTTTTTTTTTCCTGCCATAGCTTTGAGAAATAAATGGCCCAAAACGAACATGTTGAAGGGAGAGAATAAGCAGAGGGAAAGGTGTTCGATCTGCTCCCCAGACCAACAGTGTGCTGTTAGCACATCTAGGGCACCTTACCTCTGTGCTGTCACCTCTTCAGCATTTGACAGATGACACAGCACCAGTCTGGAGGATCATTGAGACAAGTCTCAAGAAACACATAAACCTCAGGCTAACTTGTTCACTACCGCGTCCACTTCTTTTCACCACTACCCCCTCGTCCCCATTTTCTTACCTTAACAATATATAATTTTCTTATTTTCTTCAATAGTGTCTCGGTTCCTCTTCTTATCTCAGAAAGGATCACTTTTTTGCTATTTATCATTTATTCTATTCCTTATTCTCTAAACATTCTTTTAACTTTTCTCTTATATCTTTTTTTTTATTTGCTGTGGTTGATTGAGTACCCTGTCTTGGCGGATGAATAGGCAGCATATTAAAGGAAAGCATGAAAGCTGTGTGGTAGAAGGAGCAGCCCAGGAAAACTCCTAAACTTCATGTCTGTTATTCAAAAGAAAACTGACAGCAGAAATAGTCCATGTTGTCACATTAAGTGTTTTGAATCCATCCTTCCCTCTCAGCCATCCTATTTATATCCGTTCTTCTTAAAGGCACAGCACACACCGTGTCTAGGCTTATCATTTAGTCAGGAAGACTTAAACTCAAGCTGTGCCCACTAGGGGCAGAGCTGCTACTGAGGAATTAAAATCCCAATCTTCTTAAAGATCGCCTGCCCCTTTCCTGCCCTACTCCGCCTTCTTCATTATCTCCCACCTCCTCATCCATCTCCTGTCAGAACCCCTGACTTTGCCACCCAGCCAAGCTAAGCCGTTTTTTAGTCCTGAAAAGCGCGTCTTAGTATCCCCCAAAAGCCCTTATTTCATTTACTGCTGTCTATTAACTGCTGTCCTACGACTCTAAATCCGCTTTTCCACAGCAAGCTTTGATACATATTTCTCGTCCAAGGAATAATTAAATGTCTTTCCAATGTCGTGTTTGGATGTGGATTTTCATTGATGGGGAAATCATTCATTTCTCTCTCTCAAAAAAAAAAAAAAAGAAAATCATGCAGTCCACATTTCTGGACTAACTTTTGTAACATAATATATATTAAAGAACTTAAATGCACTGAACAGATACATTTTTCTCATTAACATTTTTTACAGCTCGCTATTTCTGTTATACAAGAAGGAATTTACTGATTCTTTTCTCACTGCTCAAAATGAATGTAGGAAATTGCAAAATATCTAACATTCCTCTATGAGATCATTTTGAAATTAATTTGGTCTTTTTCAGTTTAGTATTTAAGAAGAGAATGTTTCAGGTTGCTTTAGTTTAATTGCTAAACCAAATCTGATGATTATTAGTGCTTAATATTAGGATTTTAGTGATCAGAAAAAGATGAAATTGTTAAATTGTCTGAGTTCAGCTCAAAGAAATTCAAAAAGAATCCAACAGTAATGGCTGTGATACCTACGAGCTACAAGATGCAGTCAAAACAGCTATGCTTTGTTTTATAAAACATTATTGTGATTTTGAACATTTATTGAATACCATTTGGAAGCAGAAAACACATCCATGATTGATTCTTCCTACCAAGCAGCACAGTCACGCACTGTAACACATGATGTCATCAGCTCATGATGGAGCCCAACGGCATGTAGTTTGTTTTCTTGTTTGTGCTGCATGTCCCATCAAGGCTAGCCAGTTTAAATCACCTCCGTCGCTGTGACCCCTGCTCATTTCTGTGCCGCGATAGATTAAGCCCACTGTAATCCCTCTGAGCCGAGGGCCCTGTTGGATATTTATGGTAATAAGTAAACATATGAATAAATAATCTTAGATGCCGCCGTTGGACAGCTGGAACTTGTAAGTCCCAATGTTTGTCAGGAGCTGGGTGACATTCAAAGGGATGCAGTTTCAAAGGAAAATCAATTGCCTTTGGACGACAGCGGAAAAAGGAATCAAAAACACTGTTCAGTTAGACGGCTGATAAAACTTTTAAATAAATACAACGATCACAGAGTAAATAGAATCATCATATAACACCATAATGACTGATTTCTACTTGAATAATGTACAGGTTTATCCACAATTTCAGACTGTCAGGATTCAGGTCAGCCAGGAAAAAAAAAAGATTAATTTGAACTCTTCTGTGAAAACCTGCCAATGAACTGCTTCTTGTTATCCAGTCAGTCAACAAAATCAAGCTGTTTACTCTTGGGTTTCATTATCTATCTCGAAGACCCTTCTCCCAGCCTCAACAGTCTTTTTTAATACCAACCAATCAACCCCAAGCCCCTCTTCTCGTCTCCCTCTCCCTCTCTCTTTTTCTCTCCCTGACATGCTGCTGCTGGATCTCATTCCTCAGGGATGAATTTACCCAGATTGGAGCACTCAGCAAAAGGGCATTATCCCGGATTACATGTCTGTTGGGCGGCAGTGTTAAGTAATTCAACCAGATGCCGTTGTGATCACT